TACACATGCAGGTATTTTCTTGTACCACTTTCACTTTTACTCATTTCAAGGGGGAGTTAGATTGCTTTTAAAATAGAAATCTTAAAAGCTAAAACATGAGTGATCTTGGGCCTGGATACAAGGTTTTCTCTTGACACCTGGAATAAATAAGCTTCGGATTGTCTTCAGTCAGAGGACTGATAAAGTACAGAGATGGGTTATTGAAGACAGTAGTCCATCTCCATATAGCCTTTTGTTTTAAGTAGTTAATACACTGTTTTTAAACAGGAAAAAAGACTCCTGATTTCCATGTGTCTTTCTTAAAGGAAGGCTTCCCTCACAGATGGGATAATGTTCTGTTACATTTAGGTAAAATACAACACTCCCAATAAAGAATCAATTCATGTTTCGATGGAGCTGTGTAATCATCTAGTGCATATTCATAAAAGTATGATAACAGCACCAATCTTAATTTTAAATAGAGAACATTCCATAACAAATCATTATCTAACCCTATTACAGCTCTGGGATAACTTGAAAGCATTTTCATTTGTTACAATGTTCCCTCTAAGCTGCAGAGTCTTGTGAGCAAAAATTCTACTTTGTGAGCCGCTGGCATTAAAGTTGTGAACAAGGCATTTGGATACTGCATAAATCAGTTTGCTCTGGAGCCATCCTTCCTGAGCGAAGACAAAAAATGTGTGAGCTGGAGGCTAAAAAACTGTGAGCTACCTCACACTAACTCAGCTTAGAGGGAACACTGCCACAGACATAGGTTTAAATCTGCAGTCAACCATAAAACTGACTGGGTGACCTAGGGCCAATCACTTTTCATCTAATCTACTTCAAAGGGTTGTTGTGAGGATAAACTTAGGCTCTGAAGGAATGGCAGAACAAAGATGCAATCTGTGTAGCTCTGGCCTCTAAACAATTAGTGGACTTTGGAAAACTGGAGAGTTTCAGAAGACAATGCAGTCAACCTCTTAGAAAAACATACACATACACACTGTTTGGACCCATGAAAAAATTTATCAAGTAGAATACACAAAAAACACAAAAAGAAGCAAAACATTTGACTTACTGACTTTGATGGGGAAATTAAAAATGCCGTCTAAACTTAAAAAGGCCCTCACAAATTCAGGTCACTTAATTTTTTTTTTTTTTACCTATTCTTTCTTTTGCTGTGTATCACTTCCGTACAAATCAGTTTGGTATAACGGTTAGGAGCGGCGGACTCTAATCTGGAGAACTGGGTTTGATTCCTCACTCCTCCACATGCAGCCAGCTGGGTGACCTTGGGTCAGTCACAGCTCTCAGAGTAGTTCTCTCAGCCCCACCTACCTCAAAGGGTGTCTGTTGTGGGGAAAGGAAGGGAAGGTGATTGTAAGCTGCGTAGTAAAAAGCAGGGTATAAAAACCAACTCTTCTTAAATCCAGCCCTCAAATTTCTCCACTGCATTTTAGTTGTGAACCAGAATCCCCCTCCCCCCCTAAAGCAAACCAAGTGATTCAAATCTGGGGACCTCTCAAACAGCAGCTTCTGTTCCCCTAAATTCAAGCAGCAACTCCTTCCTGGAAAGACAAGACTATTTTATCATGCTTCTCCTATTAGACAGTGATATATGAACAAACCATTGTTCTCCAGCTCCCCGTCCTCATTGGCATCATCTTTGGATACTGATTTTAGGTTACAGCAAGAGGAGAAAGGGACACCACAGGTAAGCAATGTAGTTTTTGTCCCAGCAATGAAAACGTAAGGAGATGCCTATATTAGTTCAAGGCTGCATGTGCGTCTATTGTGCACGATCAGGAAGAGGCCATAGCTCATGGGCGCTCTGTGAGCATAAGGTCTCAGGCTCAATCTCAGGCATCTCCAGTTAAAAGATTCTCAGGTAGCAGGGCTGGGAGAGGCTTTCTCTACCTGAAGGACCTTGGCGAGCAGCTGACCATCAATGAGACAATACTGGGCTAGAGTGGACTCACATCTGACTTCAGTTGGAAGCTTCATATATTACTGGGGGAATCTGTGCTCTTTAAAAATAACACACACCCTCCTCGATGTCTCCATCCCCTTTCTTGGCATAGAACTGCAGAGGGGTTGCACACAGCGCACACCCAACCCTGCTTATCTTTAATCAATCCCGATACTGCACGCCATCAGGAAAACCTTGAAGCAAGCCTCCTTAAACTTAGTGGGACTTATTTCTGATTGAAAATGAACAGGTTTGTGCTGCAATGTTGTGATCCCAAGTTTGCTTATTGCTGAAGTCAACGGGACTGATAAATCGGAGATCTGGCTCAAGAGGTTCTTGGAACCTACCAGCTTTTCCAGTGGTAAAGGAAGGTCCACTAAAAGGCTATGACTGGGATCCTGAGACCCCTGGTGTACAAAAGCTAAGGACACAGGCCATAGTGAGGCAGGGAATGTAATGAGATTGAGCATAAATGCTGATGGGATCTAACCTGTTGGTTTTAACTTTATCCCACAAGAGCTAAGGTACATTCGACAAGACGATCTCAAACCATTTATGCTTCTTTAAATATAACAGTCACTCGTAGCATGAGTTTGAGGTGACCAGCTCCCCAAATGTAATACCAGCAATGAAAACGTAAGGAGATGCCTACATTAGTTCAAGGCTGTATGTGCGTCCAGGGGTCGTTTCGTAGAAAAAGAGCTAGGGGAACTCATTAGCATAACTCATTAGCATATGCCACACCCCCTGACATCAGGGGCCCGGCGGTGGACCTGCAAGGCCAGCGGGAGTGCGAGGAAGCCCCGCCAAGGCCCTCCCTGGCCCCAGGCAGGCAGGGGTGGGGAGAGGCGGGGAGGAAGCAACTTACCCTCCCTCTTCTCCTGCCTCCTCCTGGCTGAATATGGGCTGGAAGCGGGGTGGCCGGAAGCAGGGGGCGGGGCTTCGTCATGTGCCCCGCCCCCTGCACCTCACCCGGGGGAACTGTGTTCCCCCGCGTTCCCCCCCCAAAAAAATGACCTCTGTGTACGATCAGGAAGAGGCCACAGCTCATGGGCGCTCTGTGAGCATAAGGTCTCAGGCTCAATCTCAGGCATCTCCAGTTAAAAGATTCTCAGGTAGCAGGGCTGGGAGAGGCTTTCTCTACCTGAAGGACCTTGGCGAGCAGCTGACCATCAATGAGACAATACTGGGCTAGAGTGGACTCACATCTGACTTCAGTTGGAAGCTTCATATATTACTGGGGGAATCTGTGCTCTTTAAAAATAACACACACCCTCCTCGATGTCTCCATCCCCTTTCTTGGCATAGAACTGCAGAGGGGTTGCACACAGCGCACACCCAACCCTGCTTATCTTTAATCAATCCCGATACTGCACGCCATCAGGAAAACCTTGAAGCAAGCCTCCTTAAACTTAGTGGGACTTATTTCTGATTGAAAATGAACAGGTTTGTGCTGCAATGTTGTGATCCCAAGTTTGCTTATTGCTGAAGTCAACGGGACTGATAAATCGGAGATCTGGCTCAAGAGGTTCTTGGAACCTACCAGCTTTTCCAGTGGTAAAGGAAGGTCCACTAAAAGGCTATGACTGGGATCCTGAGACCCCTGGTGTACAAAAGCTAAGGACACAGGCCATAGTGAGGCAGGGAATGTAATGAGATTGAGCATAAATGCTGATGGGATCTAACCTGTTGGTTTTAAGTTTATCCCACAAGACCTAAGGTACATTCGACAAAAGTTATAGCTTTAAGACGATCTCAAACCATTTATGCTTTTTTAAATATAACAGTCACTCGTAGCATGATTTTGAGGTGACCAGCTCCCCAAATGTAATGGCACGTGCCACTCTGTACCTCTGCAGCAGACAGAGAGAACAATCACAGTGTTTTGAGTAGAATGGAAGAACACCTACATTCCAGGTAGACGGAAGGCAGTGTCTGATGCTATGTATTCCCTAAATTATTTGTGACTGACCCTGGTAAGCCAAAAAGAAATCTTACGGAAATGCAACAAGCATCCATACTGATAATCCCCCTGAACAACAAAAACAAAAATTCACCTTTGACACTCAAGTTTCAGAAATACCTGACAGCTGAAGCTCATGTATTCACACTGAAGGGGCAGCAGTCACACACAACATTTCTCCAAAATATGGAAGAGCTGCATGTTTCAAAACAGCTAGATCCAAGTCATAGCGTCTTAGAGACTAACAAGATTCTGTGTGTATAAGCTTTTGAGTCAAAGCTCCCTTTGTCAGATACCCAGTTTTGACTCTCGAAAGCCTGTCTACCCTGAAAATCTTGTTGGTCTCTAAGCTGCCACTGGACTTGAATCTAGCTTTTCGACTGCAGACCAACAAGGCTCCCTTCTAAAACCTGTTTCAAAATCAAATCAAGCATCTGGGCTGCAAATGACTGCACTCAACAGCAAAACACTGCAGCAACTTTTACCAAGACTGGATTGTATCCTTCTGAGACTGGGTTGGCTGTTCTGTATTTTCAGCAGCTCTGATGAGGAGCCAGGATTAGGTAAAGGATTGCCCCCGCAAAAGCACTCTATACATGAGTACCTTCCGCAGAAATCATTACTGGACCAAATTCTTTAATAACTGCCTTGCAGACGTCTTTCAAAGGGAAGGAAACAGATCACACTATCCAGGTAATCTCTCATTTCTTTATGGCTGATGATAAAGATATCCATTGATTCATTTTTAAAAATACAGCTGCTTTTTTGTGACCTCATTCTTCACCTCTGACTTATTCTTAAGACACAGGTTTAATGGAACGTGGTTATAACACGGGGTTGAAACACTTCTCAGTTTTGAAGCAAATGGCTGGAAGTCCACACAAAGAAACCCATGAAAAATAAGTCCAGTCTGATTCAAACCAGCCCTTTTGTTTCTCGGTGCCTCTGGAAATCATTAAAACATTCTGCGTCCTGCTTTACCGGGAACATCTTTTCACTTTTAAGCTCTAACTTAACAGCGACATTTCTCAAGTATAAAACAAGAAAACTTAATAAGCCAATCATGTGTGTTTACCACTTGGGAGTGAAGCTTTAACTACTTAGATAGCTCTTTGCCCTTCCATGTGACCCGCAGATGCAGAACAAAATACCTTAAAATATGCAAATGTGCTTAATTTGCATAAGGGATGCAGGCCAAAATAATCTTTCCTTGATGGATAATCTGAAATTACTTTGGTGCAGAGTTTTGATTGGTTTAAAAGCATGGAATACATCCATTCCAGTTCATGCTTATTAAATAACATATAAAAAACAGCTGTAAGTAGAGTAGGGAGATGAGGTGGATCTTCAGAAAGATTCTGTCTCTTGCTGCATTGGAGCAGCTGGGCTCACACCAGAATTTTTTGCAGCGTTTTTAAAGTGGACTCTTCGGTGGCTAACCAGGTGTGAGCTCTGATTAAACCTCTTCCCACACTCGGGACACTCATAGGGCTTCTCCCCCGTGTGGATTCTTTGGTGCTTGTTCAAGTCCGAATTCCGAATGAAACTCCTCCCACATTCTAGGCACTTGAAAGGCCTGTCCCCCGTGTGCATCCTCTGATGAGCAAGGAGGGCCGAGCTGTAACTGAAGGTCTTCCCGCAGAGCAGGCATTTGTAGCGCCTCTCCTCCTGGTGGGATTTGCGATGGACCAGGAGCTGGTGGATCATGCGGAAGCTTGCGGGGCAGTCGGGACAAGCGTGCAGTTTTTCCGTGTGGGTCTTCTGGTGGGAGATGAGATGTGACTTGTGGCCAAAGCGCCGGTCGCATTCCGTGCATATGTAGGGCTTCTCCCCAGTGTGGGTCCTCTGATGGGCTGAGAGGTTTGAGCTGGTGCTGAAACATTTCCCGCAGTCCTGGCACTCGTAGGGTTTTTCACCCGTGTGGGTCCTCTCGTGGGCCCGGAGTTGCGAGCTCTGACGAAAGCCCCTCCCACATATCGAGCACTTGTAAGGCTTTTCTCCCGTGTGGATTCGCCAGTGCTTGATGAGCACCGAGCCTTCACTGAAGCACCGCCCGCAGTCTGAGCACACGTAAGATTTCTCCCCGGTATGGGTCCTGCGGTGTACTATGAGGGCCGAACTGGTGTTGAAGCTCTTCCCACAGTCGGTGCATTTGTAAGGCTTTTCCCCTGTGTGGAGCCTCCGATGGGTAAGCAGGCTGGAACTGTGACGGAAGCTCTTCTCACAAACGTCACACTTGAATGGCCTGTCATTTGAGTAGACCCTCCCAGGGCTGTTCTCATAGTCAAAACAGATCTCCCCGGAGAACGTATCCTGAGGAGTCTTCAAGTCTCTCTTGTGGCCTTCGGGCTGCTCAGAATCCAGGAAGTCTTCACTCTCCACCCATAACATCTTGGATGGCTTGTCGGAGTCCCCTGGCTCACGGTCCAGTTGCTGGGGAGCTACCTCTTCATTTTCACTCTTGATCCAGTCTTCACCTGCCAGAATAAAGACTCTTCCATCAGTATTCATCACCATAAGGCCAATGGCCATCTGAAATACTGAGAGTGGGAAGAGGGGTCGAGAGGAGACTAAAAAAAAGTGCCCCCTTACATGAACAGGATTTGAGAGGGGGGGGATTTGCTCCCAAAATTACAACTGCCACAATACCATCTATTTTCCTTACAAAAATCTTCGAGCTTGAACAGTTTATACATACATTGGGCTGCATCCTACCATGTTTTCCTGCTTGGTCTCCTCCAGTTACCCTCCTCACGGCAGACCCTGTCCCATGATCCCTGGCAGAGCCATTTACGTGGCCAACAGTTCCCTCCTTCCTCTCCCACCAGTGGAGAAGCCGACAGAATCCAACTCAACATCAGAGTTACCTCCCCATCCCACCCAGAGCTGTGTGTGTGTGTGTGTGTGGCCTTCAAGTCACAGCTGATTTATGCCAACCCCATAGGATTTTCAAGATAAGAGGTATTCAGAGGTGGTTTACCACTGTCTGCTTACACGACATGACCCTGGTGGTCATGCTTTGTGGTCTCCCATCCAAATACTGACCAGGGCTGACTCCACTTAGCTTCTGAGATCTGATGAGACTGGTCTCTCTCTCTCTCTCTCTCTCTCTCTCTATTTTGCAAGCTATATTAAGATTTTTTTTTAACACACATGAGCGGCAACTGCAACAAAGGATACTTCATGGCTTCATCTATCACATTTTTTTTACCTGCCCATCCTTCAAAGAGGCCAGGGCAGCCTACACGGTTCTCCCTTCACTTATACAGACTCTGACTCATTACGTTGCCAAGATAATCACTACCAGGTTTTGCTTTGGCTATTCATTCTGTTACAAGCCCAGAGGGGACTGAAGGCAGAGGAAAAGCTTCACAGGGTAGCTATCAGATGTCTTCAGTAGCCATTCCATTCAGTCTTTATTTGCAAGGCTAATAACACAGCTGTGTGAGAGAGATTTTGGCACATGAGGACCCTCCCTGTAGAAAGTACACAAAAAACAAAACACTGTCCCCCAGTACTCCCTTCATAGGATACAAATAAGCCCTAAAGTGCTTTTGCAAAAAGCTTCACTCATGGAGGATAACGGACATAGAGGAAGGTGTAGAAATGGGTGTGTAACACCCTGTAAAAATGAAGCAAACCTGTGTGGGACTTGGTTTAAGTTCTCAGGGGGGTTTTTTGGTGGGGGGGAACACATCCACAGGGGGGGGCTATATATCTTGTTAAAAAGGTAAAGGTAAAGGTTCCCTTGCTCGAAAGCCAATCGAATCCGACTCTAGGGTTGCGGTGCTCATCTCCGTTTCAAAGCCGAAGAGCCAGCGCTCTCCGAAGACGTTTCCGTGGTCATGTGGCCGGCATGACTAAACACCAAGGCGCACGGAACGCTGTTACCTTCCCACCGAAATGGTAGCTATTTATCTACTTGCAATTTCTTGCTTTCGAACTGCTAGGTTGACAGGAGCTGGAACTAGAGATGGGAGCTCACTCCATCATGCGGCACTCGGGTCTCGAACTGCTGAACTACTGACCTTCCACAGCCTGCAGTTCAGCATCTTAACCACTTGAGCCACCACAGCTCCTTTATATATCTTGTTAGTTCCATTTTATTCCAGCCAGTATCCAAGAAAGAAAACACATCCGTCCAACAACTGGACACACAAGAAAGGCACACAGAACCAAGAGCATCACTTAACGCACGGGCGTTGAACTCATTTGCTATGAGGGCTTGATCTGACATAAATGAGACCTCGTTGGGCCGGGCCACGTGTGTCATAAAATGTAATCCCAGGTAGCGGAGATATAAACTTTATAAAGGACACAAACACAAAGGGGTTTTTTTTTACTTAAAATAAAAACATGCTTAAAACATTAGCACTCTTGCAATATTTTGTTTTTTTAACAGTGTCTGATAACTGACACCTCTTGCTCTGAATTATAGCATCAAAATATCTGTTCTGTTGCAATTTTGAGTATGCTGTTCAGGTGTCTGTAAGCTGCAAACCTATGATGATGCAGCAGCAGCAGAACTGGAAGAAGAAGCAGAAGACAGCCAGTTCCACTGCGGGCCTGATAGAAGCCCTCAGAGGGCCTGATCCAGCCCCCCAGCTTCATGTTTGACACCCCCGACTTAACATTTCACTCTGGCAGTCCCAACTGCCATAAGAGCCAAGCTGCCATTCAGTTGTTGAAGCAGCTTGTTTCTTCAGCCATGGGACAGGGTGCAGTAGAAACACCATGGAAAAATGTACAAGGCGCACTCCCTTAGGCACACATCCTTGCTAGGATAGTGGCTGATAAGGACAGAATAAAATTTAAAATACAAGAGACACTACGCTGTGACTATGGACATAGATTCCCTCCATCCCCTCCCCTCCACAAACCAGCTCCATTTTGTATAAAATCTTTTCATCTTAATATAGCCAAAGAAAGCCCCCCCCCGACCAGGCTGTTATCTGGTTTTTTTAGAGCATACCATGAGCCAGCCTTCCAGCCAACACACATAGAGAGCCAGCTATCCCGGAGGCACCCACTGGATTGTGGTGTACTTCAAGGGGTAGTGCTGTCCCCAATGCTTTTTAACATCTATATGCACCCCCTTGCCCAGATTGCCCGGAGGCATGGGCTGGGTTGCCACCAGTATGCGGATGACACCCAGCTCTATCTGTTGTTGGGTGGTCAGTCTGACTCCCAAACTGGAAGATCTGGACCAGGCGCTACAAGCCGTGGCTGGTTGACTTAGGCTGAGCCGACTGAAACCGAATCCGATGAAGACGGAGGTCCTGTGCGGTTCAAGGCTAGGGATCCCACTCCTGACCTTCGATGGGGCTCCTTTGGTGCCAGCGCCGGAGGTTAGGAGTATGGGAGTGCTCCTGGATGCCTCCTTAACTATGGAGGCCCAGGTAGCAGCCACTGGCAAATCAGCCTATTACCATCTTCGGCTGATCAGGCAGTTGGTTCCCTTCCTCGAACGCAATAACCTGGCTACAGTGATCCATGCAATGGTCACCTTGAGATTGGATTGGACTACTGTAATGCTCTCTACATGGGGCTGCCCTCGTCTCAAATCCGGAGGCTGCAGCTGGTGCAAAATGCCGCAGCCAGGTTCTTGATGGGGCTCTCTAGATGGGAGTACATCCGGCCTGTGCTGAAGGCATTGCACTGGGTGCCAATAGCATACCGGATTCGCTTCAAGGTGCTGGTTCTTACCTTTAAAGCCCTACATGGTCAGGGACCTACATACCTGAGGGACCGCCTTTCCCCACATGTCCCCCAAAGAGCACTGTGGTCAGGGGCTCAGAACTGGCTGGCCCTCCCAGGTCTTAAGGAGGCAAGGCTGTCGACAACCAGGACCAGGGCTTTCTCGGTGGCAGCCCCATCCTGGTGGAATGAGCTCCCGGAGGAGATCAGGGCCCTGTGGGACCTTTTACAGTTCCGCAGGGCCTGTAAAACGGAGCTCTTCCACCAGGCTTTTGGGAGCCGCTGCCACTACCAATGAAGAACACTGGATGGTTGAATGTGAGAGGGCCCTGGATTCCGCAAATTGCCACCACTGCAAGGACAATTAAATTAAAATGAACACTGCGAGCTGACTGCGAGCTGAGAACTCTGAATAATGGCTGCTACCGTCATACGAACAACAACTACTAGCACTTTATTATGGTTTTAGAATTGTTTTAATTGTAACTTATGTTTTAATGGAGCATCTGTTTTTATGTAAGCTGCTCTGAGCCAGCTTCGGCCGGGAGGGTGGGGTAGAAATTCGAAAAATAAATAAATATAAATACATACACACACACTCAGGATATGTTCCAGGCGTGCACACATGTTGAAATGATTTAAGCAATAATTCAGACAAGCCTTTTGGATGGGAGGAAACCTTGCTCCCCTCAAGCTGCCATAGCTCCACAAGGCCTTCCTTTTCCTGGGCCTCGTTTGGGAAAGAGCAGCAGATTCTGCCATGGTGTGGTGGTGAGATCAGTACATGCGAAAGGAGAGACTTCAGGGGAAAGAGGGATCGGTCCAACAGTCTCCAGGGTGGAAAACAGGCCACCTGCCAATCTACAGCCGTCTGACTGTAGCAACTAGCCATTTAGATTCTCACATTCCCTTCTATAAGAAAGTAAACAAAGGAACAGAACACGTGAAATGTTGGCTTTTTGTTAAAGGGTCCCAGGATCTTGAAAGCGACTTGGATGCATTTTAGGAAACACAGTTTAGAGTCCGTTCCTCCCCCCACCTCGGCCCAACATGAAAACATCAATTCTCTACCTCCCTCGGCTCCGCTGCCTGCCTCAGCACCCACGCAGGCGCTCCTCTCGATTTCAATTCAGCCAGCACAATGCTCTAATAACCATTTTATTGATTTTTCAGGAAGGCAGCCCCCAAAATGCAACCCTTTCACCGCCTAAGCCTCTCCTGCCCCGTCTCAAGCACTTACCGGGGTCCATTTCCGTATCTGCACGGATTTTAACCTGAAAACAAACTAGGGCGCAACGCAGCAGGACAAACACCCATTTCAGAATCAGACTCGGACCGAATTCCTGTGGCCTTTTGTGCTGCCCTCGCCAAGCACTCTGGGTAATGTAGTCTGGCTAGCAAAGGAGAAACTGGGAATGCTAAAAGCAAAGCATTTTGGGAACTGTAGTCCTGGGTGAAAAGCAGTAATAAAATAAAATAAAATCATAATAATAGGAGTGCGGGAGTCGCAGCACTCTCGAAGGTTACATACCGGAATGTGAGCACAGGCGGGATTCAAGCTTCAGTCTGCATATGAAAAGCACTCCTTCTCGTGATCTCATGCCTCGGGGCTCCGTCTTGGTACTGGAAAAGGATTCGGGTGGTGAGCCCTGGAACACCCTTCTGCTGAAAAGCAAGGCGTCCAACAAGAGGACTAAGGAGGGGGGGGGGGGGAGAATGCAAACGATAAAGAAGCAGACGGCAACTACTTCGATCTATATGCCCGGCTCTGTTTGGCAGACAAAATGCATTACAACAACACATACAAAACGCGATGAATAACTGCATCTGAAGAAGTGTGCTTGCACACGAAAGCTCATACCTTGAATAAAATCTTGTTGGTCTTAAAGGTGGCACTGGACTCTAACTTTGTTCTGCTACTTGACCAACGCGGCTACCCCACCGGAATCTGGAATTAGCAAAGTAGGGATGAAGAAGAAAGAAGAGATCAAATAATCTTTTCTTCAGTCGCAAAGGGCATTTTTGCGTTTTAGAACAAAAGTTGAGTCCTACACTAATATAAAGAGCAACAAAGCTATCCACGGTGTACATTTCAGCTAATGACAGCTCTCTCGGTTTCCTTGGGTTTCCCTGTTTTTGTTGTTTGGTTTGACGAACCATGCCGAGGGAAGTTTGCACTTAATAGTGTTGTTTAAATTATAAAAAAAAGTCCTGCGCCCAACGTGGGGCTCGAACCCACGACCCTGAGATTAAGAGTCTCATGCTCTACCGACTGAGCTAGCCGGGCGGTTGGTATACCAGCTTTCTAACTACTAATGTTAACAAGCAATTACCACTTCGTTTGATGATTTGTATGTTTTTTGGAGATTCTGTTGCTGCCGTGGCTTTCCATGAATCGTCCCTAGACTACCTACCTGATTTTAAAGCATACTCGAAACGCACACGACATTTATAGGATTAATTGCGCCAACTAGTGTTTAGTGGCGTTCTCCTTGGGAAGTGTCTGAACTGCTCCCTGTATGACAGTCCATTCCTTAAATCACGCCAAGCTGCTTTCCCCACCACCCAGCGGTTTCACAGCGTTTTAGGAATTTCACCATGGCATGAAGAAGTAATGTAAAGGAAGAATAACAATTGTTATGGAAGCTTGAGGTTTGAGAAAGGCAGACCAGCGATATAAATGAGTACAGCTCTGAGCAGGACATAATGGGGTTAAGCTGCTTTACTGGTGAAAATCGACCAGTTCCTTATTCCTAAACACTGACCTAAGCATTGTGTGTATTGCAAGGTTGTAACATATGCAAAAATATATATGGGGGCTAATGAATTTTGGACCACTATAAGGGGGTTGATCTGCCCGTATATGATTTGGAGCGACTCAAAACTTGTTTAGAGGATGTTTCAGTGTTTAAAATTCTGCTCCTTCTTCAGCTTGCTCCTGCAGTCACATATTGAATAAGGAACCAGGAACCCACTTCAGACTCCTGAACCAGATGATGGTTACAAGGCTGCAGAACATTTCAGAGTGCTAGAGATAATGTGTCGGCATAGCAGCACTACTCCTTCGTATAGGTCAATCCTTACACGTTAGTTGAAGTTCGCTGTCGGCGGCGTTCAAAAGTGACGTAAATCCAATAACACTAGTTCCGGCTTTGTGTCTTCCCAAATTTCAGGCACTCTTGCTGTCATTTACTGTTCTGGGGTGTTGCCGAAGTCTTCTCTATTGCGCCGAACTAATTGCAATAGTGAGAAATAAGACGAATCCAGGCTAAGAAGGATGTCAAACTCATGTCTCATGTTGAAGAGTGTTGTAGGCTAGATGGAAAACGGAGCAGCCAGCTGGTTTCTGTAGTGTAGTGGTTATCACGTTCGCCTCACACGCGAAAGGTCCCCGGTTCGAAACCGGGCAGAAACAGCACAGGTTACTTTTGCCCCCACATCCCTTTATTTTAAAGATCCATTTCATGTTAATGTCTTCAAGTTAAAGTAAACAAAACAAAACAAAAATAACCCAGAAGTTTTTCCTCTGGATATATATGTGACAAGCAAGGTGGCTGCTCATGTCCTTAAAATTAATAAATAGTGTTTCAACATTCTAAATAAACAGTCATAACACCAACAGTCATATGCCACCATCATGAGTGAGTATTTATTGTATATTTGTGATTTCCATTTCGCTTCATAGGGAGATTCCCCCAAGCTTTACAATTCTGAAGTATCTCTTCAGCTTAAGGGTCCCAGAGTACAGGTGAGCAATGCTTGCAAGATTAGACGCCTTACCTTCTGCAGTTTCTGAAGGCCGCACATTGAATCATAAAATCATAGAATCATAGTTGGAAGGGTCATCTAGTCCAATCCCCTGCACAATGCAGGAAATTCACAAATACCTCCCCCCACACACACCCCTTGACCACCATTGGACGTACCATTCTCAAATAGATATTTTAGCTGTGGTTTAGGTGCTATTGAATCTGCAAGACATGTTCTATCTGAATGTCCCTGATATAATGTGAGAAAGAAATTGCTTAAACCTTTGATACCACAGTCCTCAGCAGATATCCTTATTTCTAAATTACTAGCAGATTCAAGAGCAGAAAATATACTCATTTTAGCTAAATGTTTGGTTCAGGCCATGAGAGTTCGGGTAACTTACAGGAGAACAGCTGTCTTTGTCGCCTACGTACCAGCCCTCTCAGGTCTGAATTCTTCCTTTCTTCTTCAGATTCCGTGTTATGTTTGATAAACGCTACTCAAGACCTATAGGTCAGAGGAGTATAGTAAATAAGAAAAAAAGTGTATGTGTGATATGTATTAGTTGCCTGTCAGCCTACAGATAAGGAATTAACAGGTCTGTGTGGTGGGAATTCTGAGAGATAGACCACCAGAGAATCAGCAAGGAGAGTCAACAGTTGTTTATTTGGCGCCAGGTGCAGCCAAGCACCGAGAGGCACTTTTGAACAGGGCTGCACACCAAATGAGGTGGAGTCAGGTTTATACAGTTACAGAGTGCAAAAAAATCATTTTCCTTGTCATTTCTTAGCAGAAAGATCATTAGAAAACACTGGCAGCGTGTTTTGAGCATTCTGTACTTTTCAAGACCACAACATTCTTGGCTGACCACCACACATCTAGCTTGTGGGAAGGCCAAAGCTTTCCTGTTTATCAACAGATGTTACATTAATTACAGCAATAAAAGCAAGGTTAACATCTCCCTTAGTAACGGGCCCTAGCAACGCCTAATATGGTCATGCCTGTGTGCAAGCGTCTATGTCCTTGTCTTTCTACTTGCTAAAGCAATGCGTTGCCTGCGTTTCTTAATGGCCTTATAATGCTGCAAAATTGCTGTTAAATGCTTTATCTGTACACTGCAATCAGCCCAAATCACACAGAACTATGACAGGGATACTGTTCACTTCAAGGTGTCCCCCTATCATCTGGTCTAAGTCTTCAGTTAGGTGTAAACTGCTTAGACATCATACCTATTCACCCATTATAAATATACTTATGACCAGGGGTCGTTTCGTAGAAAAAGAGCTAGGGGGACTCATTAGCAGAACTCATTAGCATATGCCACACCCCCTGACATCAGGGGCCCGGCGGTGGACCTGCAAGGCCGGCGGGAGTGCGAGGAAGCCCCGCCAAGGCCCTCCCTGGCCCCAGGCAGGCAGGTGTGGGGAGAGGCGGGAGGAAGCAACTTACCCTCCCTCTTCTCCTGCCTCCTCCTGGCTGAATGAGGGCTGGAAGCGGGGCAGCCGGAAGCATGGGGCGGGGCTACTATCATCTGGTCCAAGTCTTCAGTTATGTGTAAGCTGCTTAGACGTCATACCTATGCACCCATTATAAATATACTTATGACGGAGATGTGATGGAATTTACTGTTAATCAGATATGCTATGTAGTTTATGTAGATTTTTTTTAGGTTTGCTTCCATTGGATTATTCACTTTGGGTCTCAGTATTGCTGATTCCAGTAAGAATTGCAAGCTAACGTTTCTCACTGTTTCACAGGGCTCTGTTTAGCCTTGAAAAAGATAAGCTGCTAACGTCAACTACATCTGTTACTTCCTATAAAAGTCTATTGTTCACTGTGACAGGGAGTTAATAATTGGCCTTATGCCCAGGAAAATCTCATTAACAAGCTTGCTACTCACTTGGAAAGCACCACGGCATACTCAGGGAGCAGGGTTGCATTATGGCATTTTGTGGGCCCTGGGCACTTTTGCCTTTGTGGGCCCTTCCCACCATAATAATATCAATATTAAAAATTATTTTGATATAACTTTAAATGATTCAACATTTTATTTTTCCTGTTTTAGTCAAAATTTAATAGATTTTCATGGGTCCTAAAATTTCATTATTTTCTGATGTGAGGGGGGAAAAAACATTTTCTTTGACTGTAAAAGTTCATTTTTTTCTTCTGATTTTAGAAGAAAGTAAAACATTTGTGTGGGCCCCTAAAAGTATCATGGGCCCTAGACTCTGTGCCTACAGTACCTAATGGATAAGTCGGCCCTGCTCAGGAAAACATCTTCCCTTAGCTGATAAAAATCAGGCCCTGCAATTGGTTATGTGTTGGCTCACATAATTGTGCCCATAGAAATTGGCCATACTTCAGAATCCTGAATGTCTCAAATCTGAAATTCAGTGAAAGCTGGTCTGTTTTCTTTCTACCAAATTTTGGTTAAGAATCTTTCATATTCCATTTTATTACCCAAAGCATCTTGGATAGAAAATGTAATGTATGCTCTCCTCTGATCTTAATAGCTATGATCTATGCTAAATAAGTGGGTTCTAGATCAAATTAAGTCTGAACTCTCCTTAGA